GTCAAGGTGGACATGTCCAAGTTATATGATAGACTAGAATGGTCTTTCTCCTTAGTGTGTTGGATAAATTTGGTTTCTCTAATTGCTAGTGTGAACCGATATTTAAAAGTGTATCGAATTGCTTGGTACTCTATCTATCTTAATTCCAACTTCTTTAGTTCCTTTAAATCATTTTGTAGTGTGAGGCAGAGAGACCCATTGTCTTCCGCACTATTCATTTTGGCACAGGATGCATTTTCCAGTACACTTAAACTCTATAATAACAAGCAAGTTCTATTAAGCCTTTTTACACTAGTTGAAATAGCATGATCATTTATCATATATTATTTATGGATGACATGCTTATTTTTACCAATGGTAGGAAGAGAAACATAGATAAACCGTTGTCTCTTCTTCATGTCTATTTAGCTATAAGCCGAAAAAATATCAATACTAGGAAAAGCTCCTTTCTTTGTAGTAATAAGTTGCCACTAAATAGGAAGGTCTCATCTCCATTTTGACTTGTTTTTCGATATCTACTAAAGTGATGAAACATTTGGGAATTCCATTATTTAAAGGTAGAGCTCAAATAGATTACTTTGCTAATTTGGAAGGTAAAATCAAAGATAAGGTTGGAAGATGGAAAAGCTTGACTTCTATCTATTGGAGTGAAGCTAACATTGATTCAAAGTGTGTTATCCTTCATTCCTATTTATACCATAGGGGTCCTCCTAATACCAAAGATAGTATTATCTAGAGTTCAAATACATCTCTCTAATTTCTTTTGGAATAGTGGTAGAGATAGTAGGCATCACTAGCTTCATTGGAAATCCATTTTGCATCATGTACAAAAGGGTGGGCTAGGCATCAAAATCTCTATGAGGTGATGAGTATTATGAAAGGAAAATTAGCCTTGGTGTTTTTGACAAGCTCATTTTTATGGAGTTGTTTTATGAGAGCCAAGTATGGGGAGATTTCATCTTCAATTTAGTTCAATAATCAAAGTTTCCATAACTAATGGGTTACTTGCACATCATGGTAGAATAAGCCAAGTTAGAACCCGCTCTTATAGATGTGTTTTCCTTGGGTACGATACATTGCATAAGGGGTATAACTATCTTGATCTAATAACAAACATAATTTATATCTCACGTTCTATTTTATATGATAAACGGGTTTTCCATATCATGGTGGACTAAGCAATAATCCGAGTGTCCTTTGAAACCCAAGATGTTATCACACTACACCCCACCACTTATACCCACATATATTGCTCCTTACTAAACCATCACTTCACCAACAAGCCTACACTGTCTAGCGACCAAGCAAATAGCCTATGCCTCCAACTACATCACTAAGTTCTTTAGCCCAACGACCCCATCAATAGGCTTTCTACCCCAACCCTAACATCAAGTGACGCACCTCTTCACCAACCGCATAAAATCCTAGTCCATATTCAAATAAATAAAACCCAAAAGCCCACAATAAACCTTCCAACCCATTCCCATCCACCCATTCGGTTAGAGATTGACCTACCGGTTATATCTCTCATTTCCAATCATAAAAATCACAACGAGTCATCTCACCTCATGAAAACACGCTCCTAGACTAGCCATAGCAAACCCAAAATGTTTCATACCACCCATATCTCCACTACACCAACCTACTATACCATTGCTAATGTCAAGCAATGAATGAAGAAATGGTTGTTGGTACCATGTAGGTGTCAACCTCCTAGACATGGTGTTAGACAAGTATATATGGACAACCATAAGGCTATATTGACCTTGAATTTCCACACCATGTCCGCTCCATGAAGAGGTAGCTCTATGGCCTTAAACAAACACCTAGAGCCTTGTACCAATGTCTAACAATCGAACTTGTTCATCTCGAATTTTGGAGATCTCAATTAGACACTTTTTTATTCACATACACAAAAGGTGTAGACATTATATATTGCCTTATCTATGTGGATGATATACTTGTTCCCGGTACCAATGAAAGTCTAATTTGACATGTGAAAATGTAACTTCAATTGAAATTTTCCATTAAAGACTTAGGTAAGCTCGACTACTTTCTAGGAATTGAGGTTCATTGGAGAAAGGGAGGATTGACCTTAACTCGGTTCAAATATATCGGAGACATCCTATGAAGGGCAAATATGTATGAGGCCGTTCCATTTCAATCCCAACGATATGCCTCGGTTAAGTTGCTGAATGTAGGGACATTATTAGACAACCCAAATCTATTTTTCAACATTGTATGAGGGCTTTAGTACCTTGCCTTAACACGTCCGGACATCTCCTTTGTAATAAATAAAGTTGCCTAGTTTATGCATGCTCCAAGAAATGAACATTGGTCAATCGTAAAGAGAATCGTACGTTATCTGGGCTCCACACTCGATGATAGTCTACACATCAAACTTATAGCATCCTTGAATATAAACGCATACACTAATGCGGATCGGGTGGTGATGTGGATGACTAGAAGAGTACAACAGGATATGCTATTTATCCGAGTGGCAATCGATGTCTTGGTGCTTTAAGAAGCAAAAAACGAGTTGCATGATCATCCATTAATGTAGGATATCGTGCATTGGCCATAACGACTTTTGAGGTCACTTGGATTCAATCGCTTTTAAGAGAAATAGGAATCACCATTCCTATGGCACTCGTCATGTGTTGTGACAACATATCTACAACCTATCTCGTTGTAAATCTTATGTTTCATTCTTGATCGAAACACCCGGAGATAGATTTCTATTTCGTAAGAGACAAGGTGAAGAAGAAGGAACTAGTAGTGAGCTTTATTTCAACAAAAGATCAAATTACAAATGTCCTAACTAAAGCTTTATCCAAACGATAATTCCTACTCTTATGAGAAAAGTTGACTATGCAATTTGTCGCTTAGCTTGAGGGAGGATGATAAGGATACAACACTACCATGTAGATCCTCAACCTCATATATATCCAGATCTTGTACATATCTCACTATTGAATAAAGTTGTATATAGGTATAAGTCTCTATAACCATATCGATCTTTGTAACTAGAAGTCTCGCTGGCTATGCCTCCGTAAACTCTATAAGTAGAGATCTTTAATAAACAGCAACTTATCTTTTAGATAACACGTTAATCTTTCACTAATATCACCAACCTCAAAACTAAGGCTAAAGCCCAATAAGAAAACTATCGAGCCAATTAATGGATTTTGAACCCCAAATCAACACGAGAGGGTAATGTGACAATGAAGAAGGAGAACAACAAGAACTAATTAAACTAGGATGGAGATTATGGTGTTGTTGATTCAAATGGGTCATTGTTCATGCTATTGTGTTCTACTAGTGATAAACGGACTAGAACCATCTTTTTTGTATGTAGTAGTAGTTGCCGTTGTTTTGTTCTTCACTTCTCCCCTCTAAAAAGCTGTGATCGATGATAGTTTCCTGTTAAAGGAAAGTTAGGTTTTGGGTTGGAACAAATTTTTATTATTATTATTATTATTATTATTTGGATAAAAATGACTATTTTTTGAGCTCTCCTAGACCGAAAATCTAATACCCCTATTTTATAATATCTATAAAAATTGAACTTATCATTTAAATTTAATAAATTTCTTTTCCATCTTTTCTACTATTTTTCTACTTAATAACTTTATTGTTAATTATCTCAATTTAAAAAAAAATGAAAATCTAAGCAAATTTAACAAGAAGGATTCAATTATTATCAAATTTATTCGAGGACCAGTTGCACCAAATAATTTGCATAGAGACTATTTTCCGTTTAACTAATAGTTTAAGAGGGTTGGACATATTTTATTCTAATATAAAACAACTTTACGAATGCTATTAAATCCGATTCAGATCATGATTCGGACGAACTACTAAGTCAGAAGATCATTAGTTTAGCCAGCAATGAGTCACTAGTCGAACAATTATGTCGATTGTACTAATTAAGTCACGAATGCTGGCAACCTTAATTAGGTGAATCGCGACCTTCTCTACACAAGCTGGAAACCAGAGAAGGTAAAAATTAATGGCATCTTACTAGCTAGGCAGTATTTCCATTTATTATTTGTGATCATATTACAATTCAATAAATAAATAAATAAATAAAATTTCACGTACTCTTTGGGGAACCTCAACTACCTGAATAAAATAGAACCACTAGATTCCACGATGTCCAAACATCAAAAGCAAGACGGAGACAAAAGACCAATAAATCCAAAGCACCCACTCACCAACCTCGAAAGCAAATACATTAAAATTCTAGCTGTACTCTCTTTATGTAACACCTCCCTCCTTTACCATGCAACTAGTGGGAAGAAAATACGAGCTTTTCATGAAAAGAAGGGAAATTAATTATCGACCTTCTTTTTCTTTAGTTTCTCCTAATCTACGCATTTCATTGACAATTGAGAATACGATTTAGTAGATTTGAAACAATATGGAAGAAACAAATTAGATAGACACGGAAAACAGAAATTCAATAAAAGAAAAAGAACAATTAAGAACCAAAATTTTGACTCAGCATGCAGGAAAATTCTTTTACGAGACATACAGGTATCAAACCTTCACCTAGCTAATCCCTCTCAAGTTATAACCCCAGAAGCGATTTTGTCACACAACAAAGATAATGTACTCACATGTTCCATAACCTTTAAGATGAAGCATGATATTAGTTGTAGATCATGCTATTCTTTTATGATATGTGACAAATTGAACAACTGAACAAGTATGTGAAGGTACGTACTGTGCCCTAGCTACTTGCTTCTAGGATATGTATTATGCGTTAAATCTTTCCTGAGGAACATGCAATCTCAATCAGAAATTGCCAATAATTTTTAGCTCAACAAATTAACATTGGCGTTCTCTTTCTCTTTAAGAGATCTCGAGTTTCCAACCTCTTTCTTTCTTTTTTCTTTTTTTTCTTCTGTTTTTTTTTTTTGGAAAAAAAGAAAAGAAAAAACAACAACAGAAATCGAAAAGGAGCCATGAAAACCTTGTCAACTACATGCACATCGTTATCTACCCCACATGTCATGGTTCGGTGTTTCAAAGGCAGAAGCAGTAGTTTTTTGCAACTTCAAGTCCTTGTAGAACTTCTTGATAAATTCCTCAGCTTGCTTGTCTACTTGACTGTCTCCTTCATCTTTTAGGGGGAAAGGTGAGTCAGTTATTCTCAACTGTCTCACCATGGGGCTCTTTCCAAATCCTGGCAGCGTCAATGGTGATGCTTCAACGGTAGCGTTAACCTCATGATTGTTTAGCATTTCAAGCATCTTTTGCACAGAAGCAACGGTGGTGACATCGTTATACTTGTAAGACTTGGCAAAATGATGGTGTTTGCGTTTGTGGGTGGAAAAAGGGTAGAAACTATTAGCTGGAGTATTGCTGCAGCTAAACTCATATTCTCGTGGGGATGTGAAGGAAAGTGCGTCATTGGAGCGGCAACTGAAAGAGGAGTGGTGGTAGTTGTGGAACAAGAGGTTGCCTATGGCTTTTCCTGCTAGTTTATTACCTCGTTTTAGCATCAAATGGAGATCAGCAATTATTCTGCTCTTTGCTATACCTTTTCTTACCATGAACAATATAACTCGTACTATGTGCCATAATTTCTTGCCTACTTCTGGTGTGCTTGCTGGCTCCATCTCCATGTTCATGTAGAGAGTGAGAGTTTTTCTTTTCTTTATTTGTTTTCCTCTTCTGTAGATGGATTTTTTTTTTCAAGAAAGAGAGAGGGAGAGGGAGGGAGAAAGAGAGAGGCGATCAGAGAGAAGAGATGATTTTTGTTCGTCTTTGAGGGAGGGATGAGAGGTTTTTAAAGGGCCAGAAATTACTATTTAATTAAGATAAAGAAAATTATGTATGGAGCAAAATAATATGCACTAGTCCACCACCATAGAGACAAATGTTGGAGCGGACGAAAGCTATAAAATGGCCAATAAATTAAAAGGGTTCTTTGAAGAGAAATTGTGGTCGAAAATTCTTTTTAGTTTGATATTTTTGTTTCTTTTCACATTTGGAAGCTTTCTTCGAGATTACTCGAAGGTCCCTCTTATAAAACCAAATTACCCAAGTATATCCCCTGCGCTAATGATTGGAGGGAGATATTTGGATAGGTTACCCGTGGAATGATAAAGATGATAATACCATTAATTATTCCACACTTCAATGGGCGTAATTCTCACCATCCATATTTCTTTGCTTAGGAGCTCATTAATTAAATGAACTATGGACGCCTAAAAATAAATGTCACAGAATGGCAAATCTTTAATCATAGGAAAACAACAAGACTAGCCAACGTAGGCTAAAAATTATATGTGAAAGTTAGGGTTAGGGTTAGCGTTCGCCAAATATCTTAATTTGGATTGGTCAGATTTGGTTGTTGACTTACTGCTAATTTGAAACAACTTGTTGGAACTTTGTCGGACCTACGTTTTATTAACTCGTCTTAACTTAAATAATAATGCTAATAGACAGTAAGTACAAGAGTTAGGAGAAGGAAAATGCCTGGTAACATCACGAGGATGGGCATTATTTTAAAAAATAGAAAAAAGAAATGCTTTGTGACACCATGATGGCAGATAACATTTTAAAAAATAGAAAAAGTTTATGAGTAAATTTGAAAAGTAAAAATATTAAATGACATAATATCTATTGAAATCAAGTATCCTTCTTTGTATTTCTCTAAGAAAACACTATCTTTATAAAATTATAATGATTTTTTTTTACACCATCGATGTCATGTAGCACTCGCTTAAAATAGAAAGAGTTTAGAGATAAATTTGAAAAGTAAAAATATTAAATGACATAATACACTTTGAAATAAAGTATCATTCTTTGTATTCCTCTAAAAAAATACTACCCTTATAAAATAATAGTGATTTTTTTTTTTAACATCATTGATGTCATGTAGAACTACTCTTAGAAAAATCAACAATATATATTGCAACTTTAAGTGGTCAAGGATGTTATCGGTACAGATCAATTGTGAAATTATTGAAGATTAATTATGATATAAATTTATATCGGAACTGAAATTCAAGTTACGGTCACATGCATAACTTTATTCAAAAAAATTCTTCTTATTGGTGCATTAATTAGCCGAGTGATGTTTTTTTTTTTTTCCATAAAGGTTTGTTATACATATATATTTATTCCTCAGATCTAAATATAAATATTTGTTTCATCTTTTCAATTTTATATATCAAATAATATTGTGAGCTCTCTCGTGTGTCATCAAAATAGATGATTTAATCTAGTTAGCATGTGGTTTCAATTCCTATATTATCATTCAACTTCGAATTTTAAAAATGAAACAAATAATTATTTGTAACAAAATTAAAGTCTAAATAGTGATGTTTTGATGATAATTTATTTTGATTGCACCAATTTTAATAAATAGTTTATTTAAAAAATATATATATAAAAACAAGTACGTTAACCTTGTCCAGGAAAACCAACCTAATCATAATTAACCTCACCAATAAGGAAAAAGAAAAGAGCATAAGCCCACATGATGGAACTTGACCAGCAAGTGCTACACACGCTATCATTCTGCGAGTGGATGATATAGGTTCCACGAAGACGAGCCAGCCTGACAAGGTTGACGGGAATGAAATGATTGCACCAACTCCGGACACGTGGAACTCAGATGGAGGTCCAAATAAATCTCTTGCCGTACACGATTGAATGCGCCTTTGTGGAAACACATCTTGGCCGTTCATTAATTGGAAAGGACGATCATTGGATCCCGTTTAACACAAAGCAAACACAAGCGAAAAAAAGTGGTAAAGTAGTTTCTCAAGTCATTTTAATTCCTTTAATTTTGGGCATACCAACCTAAACACATTCCATTTGTCAAAGTGAGTGAGGGTTCTTTCATCCAAAATTAAACCACCACAATTAGCTGACTAATCTACCAATATTTGTTGTAAAAACTATACAGTAATCAATTAATCACTCCATAGCTAGGAGTGTGAATGAAGATAAATATAAACCTTTAAGGTAATTTTCTCTCTTGAATGTTTATTCTATAAGCTCGAGTTAGACTTAAAAGAATTTTAATTCGTTATTAATAAATAATATATTATCTTGTTATAAAACTGAAGGATGCGGGCCTAAATCAATAAAGACTACAAGATTTTAGTTCACATTACAATCAATAGAGAATACTAGCCAGCATATGCGGGGGTTCACATCCGAATTTAGCATAAAGTATTTATAATGAAGTCATAAATAGGGTGACACATCCCAGTCCAAAACACTAAATAAATAAATAAAAAGTTTCTCGTAAATGAATAAATATATGAAATATTGGGAAATTAAAAAGTATGGGATACTCTACAGGTCGCAAGAAAAATATTTTTTTATGAATGGATGAATGAATGATATATATGTACATGTATGTCTCTTCGATCAATAAAATGAGAAATATGAGGTTTTTTAAGTAGAAGTCCAACAGAAAATCCTTTGAACTAAGGCTTGTGTGTGTGTGGATATGTGTCGTGCATGGAGTATCGATTTCCTGCCAGGAGAATGTGGTAACTAATAAGTTCATTTTCTTGTATCAGAAGTAACTAGTTCCTTACAGCTTCCAAGAAATTTTACTTCATTGATTTAGGAATATTGACATGCCTTGTGCCAGTGCTTTGGATTTTGGAAAGTCTGCTGGTGCAAATTAATATTCATACTTGTCTTTCCTTGCATTCTCTTTCAGCTCATTGATTATGAAAATGACAGCGCAAGCCACCCTGTTATACCAATCGATGGCCACGAAAAGAAAAAAACAAAATGAAAAGAAAAACTGTAGGAATATGTCAACTGCTTCTAGAAGTTCCTTCCACTCGGCCTAAGCAAGTTGTGGACCATTCTTCTTAACAGTGCTCCTAAGTTTGTGACTTCTTTCCTTTATGTATCTTTTTCCCCCATTTTCTTCTGAAATGGTGTATTAAAGCGGCTTTTTGATGGGCCATTGGCTTAAAGCAAAGCAAAATTTGCATGCAAGTGCTGTCACTTAGGAGTGCTTGGCTACTGGGATCGAGTGCCACCTGTCGAAATTAGGGAACTTTTACAATTATTGCACTCTAATGGGGCCATTTGGTAGCATATGATTTTGATGCATGTAATTCAGAAGAATTTCAATGTGTTGATGTAATGCAGAGAATTTAAATGTGCGCATGCATAGCATAACATGTAAAATGTGAAATCTGAGTTTATATAAATTAATAACAAAATTAAAGATACACAAATGTGAATAATATTTTGGAAAAAAGGCTTAGAGGCAACTTGATAAATAATTAACGGGGGTAGCCAACTTAAAAGAAAACTGTTGATCTTGATCCGCAACAATATTGTCGACAGTAATAGGCAGGAAGTTGCCAATTTTCCTTGAGGTAAATTTCACAAACAACATTCACATGATTATACTATAAAATAATTTGATCATTTATCATGTTAAAATATTATTTTAATTTAAAAATTTAAGTTATTGAGTCTTTGACTATTTTAATATAAAAGTTTAAGTTATTAGATAAGCTCTAATGATATAATATAAATTATATCTTAACATATTTATTTAAATAATTTTTTTTTGAAATTGAAACTTTTATAAATTCATACTATTTTATATTTAATTTTATGTTTAATTAATTATAAGAGAGAATAAATATGATATGATATGAACTTTTAACTATTTGATTAGAAAGATTTTAATATTATATCAAAAAATTATTTCAATTCAAAAATTTTAATTATTAAATAAGATTCAAAATATAATTTATATTTATTCTCTAATACCTTATATATGTTAATTTGTTAAAAAATAATAAGTAAAAAGTTACTTAATGAAGAAGAAATATAGAGGATGGTATGGAGTGGAAGATTTAATTTGACCAGATTGCAAAAGGGCAAGGAATATATTAATGGTCCAGCCTTAGATTGGTCAAAAATCCTTCAGCAAGTCCGATAGTACGTGTTCTTTGTATTGGTGGGCTGCTTTATCTACCCTATGCCCTAGAGTAAGAAGAAAAGAAAGCCATATGCGCAAATATCAAGGTTGAGTACTCTTAATGTTCGACTAGGCAACCACTTTTACATACTTTAGAGAAACAGAGCATTTACCGTTTCAAGTCTTTGAACTTGATTAAATGAATATAGAAAGAGTAACAAAATGAATTACAAAACAAGTTTATACGTATCGAGTTATATATATATATATATATATATATATATATATATATATATATATATATATATTGCCATTTAAATGTTTAATTAGGGCATTGAGTTACATTGTTGAATATCCCTCTTATATATTAATTCAAACGTGAGCAGATCAAAATTTTATATATTTCGCTCCTAGGAAAGCTAAAATGAGCATTGTGAAAATTGAGTTAATTTTCATTAATTAGAATCCATTTTTCTAATTAAAGTGCAACGTGTGGCCCATCAACATCAATGGAGCATTATATATATATGTTAACTTCTTTTGATAAATGATATGGAGTGCTCCCTTTTTAGGTTTTGCTTTAACGATGGTTGTTTCGTTCAATATTGAACTATCTTTTGTTGGACCATGTTTTCTAAACTGCCCTTTGGAGAGAAGGAGGACCCTAGATTAGGTGCAAGAGCTAATATGGAATTGTATGACACTAACATCCCAAATTAATAATTAGTTTTTGAATTTATTTGTGTTGTTACATTTATTTTTAATCAAGTGAAAGTTAACTAAAGTAATTTGTTATCAATAAATTTCTTTCTACAGCAGTTTGAAGTAATGATTAGGATAGATTTTGTGTGAAGCCAAACATATGTATATTCCACATAAATATAGTCAAAGTATTAAAAAAAAAATTGATAAATTGAATAAAAAAATGATCGGATTCTTAAAGTAGATATACTTAAAGGTTTTTAGATTGCAAAACTCAATACACTGCAGAGGTTTTTACGCTAAAAATCCAATAAAGAAAGAATAATTAAAAACATAAAAGTAAAAGAATATATGTATTAAAATTATACATTAAATACAATAAGGGAATTCACTATTTATAAAGAATTATTTGATTTGGTGATTAAGATAGATCTGAGTCTAATAAGAAAATATCTCGCGAGATGATAATGATGACAATAAGGAAGAATATATGTATTAAAAATCAAATAAAGGATAATTAAAGAATAATTAAAAATCCAATAAAGAAAGAATAATTAAAAACATAAAAGTAAAAGAATATATGTATTAAAATTATACATTAAATACAATAAGGGAATTCACTATTTATAAAGAATTATTTGATTTGGTGATTAAGATAGATCTGAGTCTAATAAGAAAATATCTCGCGAGATAATAATGATGACAATTAAGGAAATAAAATATTGTGTTTTGTTGTCGAATTATTGCCGATTGCCGTCTTTCCTAAATTGCATGTGTGAAGCAAGTAACTTTTTTTTTTTTTCTCTTGGTTTGAAGACAAGGGTATTTGGACCAATTTGGATATCAATTACGATTAATTTTTTCTTTAAATGATTTCAAGGATATATATGGCTATGCAACGGGTCGAACTCGAATCGGAGCATAAATAGTAGATCTATATCCAATTTGTTTAGTAGAACGGATTAGATCAAATTTTATGAATTTAGATTGAGTTTCATACATGTGAAATTGAATTCGGATCCTAATAGACTCGGATCGAATTCGGAGCTTCATCGGATTTATCACACGATTTTTATGAAAACTTTATGCTTATTATATTTCATATACTTGCTTGAATATATAATATATTTTAACAACTACATATATAATAAAATGTATTAAGATAATATTTCATTTATGGCTTAAAACCAAGAGTTCATTAACCAATGGATTTTTTCGTTCTAATACTCTATTCAAGAGTTATCATTATTTATAAAATCTATTGCTATCTAGTGGAAGGTTCGTTGGATCAAATGATAAAGGCATTGTTGAGAATAAGATGACTTTTCTAGGATGAAATAAAAATTAGATTTTTAAAAATTTTAAAAAGTCACACAATTCAAAAGTATAAAATCAAATAATCTTAATAAAAATTCATTTTGAACTCGAATAAGAAGTATGGTGAAACAAATATTGAATAATGGCATTTGGTTGCCAATTTAATAAATTAATTTAAATCTAAATAAAATTAGATTCTTCTTCAAGTTTTGGTGAGTTTTCATTATTTTGGAGATTTTAAAAAGTAATTAAGCATGAAAAGAATGTACAATAATAGAGAGAGAGAGAGAGAGAGAGAGAGAGAGAGAGAGAGAGAGAGAGAGAGAGAGAGAGAGAGAGAGAGAGAGAGAGAGAGAGAGAGAGAGAGAGAGAGAGAGAATTGAATAATGGCATTTTGTTGCTAATGAAAAAAATCAAAAGACATATGGACCAAAAGAAGCTCGATTGAGGGGCATAATTGAAAAAGGTAGAAAGCCAATGGTCTTATTTAAGCATAATTTGGCTAAATTGAAAGAAAAAAATGAATGAAAACAAATTCAATTAGGGGTATCATTAAAAAAATTAAAAGGTACCATAGTAAAATAGAAAAAGCACACAAAATGGGTTTCTAAAAGGGAATTTTGCCACCCAACCCTAAATCCTACATATAAAATCTAGTTTTTTTTTTTTTTTCTTAGGGCTAGCTAAGAAAAGAAAAAAAAAGAAAAAAAACCTAATCGGAGAAAAACTCTCTTTCTCTCCTTAAGAGCTCGCCACCCA